CCACTCTAATTCAGAGTACATATTTCTGACATATCCTAATAAACACCTCTCCCCTAATAATGTAACACAACTTTAAAAGGTACAGAATAGTTGTCAGGGATTTGATTACATGAAACATTAGTTCAATTTTCGCGAGCTCTATGTGATGCATGTCTTTTTTATGGATCCAACATCTAATTATATCGAATTCTTCCGATAAATCAAAATTGGCAATTAACCACCAACAACTAATTAGCTACTCGTAATCGTAACATGTAGTTTAAACATGCCCATAAGCACTCGTATTGAAGTTGCACAAAATAACGCAGTCACCCAACCAAGATTGAAAGAAAATGCAGTATAATGCAATGTTTCAACAAATTCCTGCTCGATATTGAGAAAATGTAGAATTAGTGTAAACTTACGGCTTAGCCTTCATTAATTAATCAATACCAATATATATACAATGCTAATCCTAGAATTACCTTAACTTAGGTCACTAGGAATTAGGAAACAATATAAAAGATAACTACCAAAATATCCCACAAAATATATCCTCAATACCCCCCTCAAGTTTGAGCATGAGTGTATAAATGCCCAACTTGGAGAGAAGGTTGTCAAACTGTGACTTCCCAAGAGCCTTCGTGAAGATGTCGGCCAATTGGGAAGAAGTAGGAACATAGGATGGAGAAAGCAAGCCTTCAACGATAGCATCCCGAACAAAGTGGCAGTCAACTATCACAGAACAACTTGATAGCCTTTGGGTGTTGCACACCCAAACTCAACAGCAAGGCTTTAAGCCATTTAAGCTCACAGGTAACTGTCGCCATGGACCTCTGCAGAAGACGTCGATACAGTGGGTTGCTTTTTGGTCTTCCAAGAGATAGGAGAATGACCGAGAAACACCAACCAACCTGTTATGGAGCGACGAGTAAGAGGATAAGCCGCCCAATCAGAGTCACATCAACCCTGCAAGGTGAGATCACTATCAGCACTCAACAAGATACCCTGAACCAGGGTACCTTTTAGATAACGAACTACACGGAGCTGCTTCCCAATGTTCACTACGAGGCTCTTGCATAAATTGAGACAAAATATGAACTGAATATGCTAAATCAGGTCTAGTGACCGCAAGATAGATCAAATGCCCAACAAGCATACGGTACACCTCCGGATCCGCAAGGTGCTCGCCTGTGGCATGGCCGAGCTGGTGGTTTTGCTCCATTGGAAAACCACTCGGCTTTGCCCCCAATAAACCTGCTTCAGAAATAATATCCAAAGTATACTTCCGTTGGCACAAAAATGGACCTGCAGCACTGCGAGCAACCTCTATGCCCAAGAAATACTTTAAAGGACCGAGGTCCTTCATTTTGAAACAATCACTGAGATAAGCCTTGAAACCGACTAGTGCAGCGGAATGATTCCCAGAAATAATAAGGTCATCAACATATACTAAGACATTAATTTGCACATTGCCTTTAGTATAAGTAAAGAGAGAATAATCAGAGTAGGATTGTAAGAAACCATACCCTTTCAAGGTCGCTACGAGCTTTGCAAACCAACATCTCGAAACTTGTTTCAACCCATACAAAAACTTTCTCAAACGGCACACTAATGATGGATCCGAACTCTCAAACTCGGGAGGTAATTTCATATACACTTCCTCATCTAGGTCACCATGCAAAAAGGCATTATGAACATCCATTTGATGAAGTTCCCAATTTTTAGATGCTGCAATTGCTAGAAATGCCCTAACCGTGGTCATCTTCGCGGCTGGAGCAAACGTTTCACCATAATCTAAGCCTTCCTGCTGATTATTACCAAAAACGACCAAACGAGACTTGAGACGTTCAATATCACCATTAGACAAATATTTTGTCTTGTACACCCATTGACACCCTAGAGCACGTTTGCCGGGAGGAAGATGCTCTAAGGTCCAAGTCCCATTATCCTCCAAAGCTCTAATTTCTTCCTGCATAAATTGTCGCCAACCTTCATGTTTCATGGCCTCTTTGAAGGATGTCGGATCATGACCACTAACAATGGCTGCCAGAAACTTACAATAATTCACAGAAAACTTGTCACAATTTATATAATGTGCTAAAGGATAGGGCGTACCTGAAAGAGGATTGGAAGATGGAGTGGAGGACGCGGAGGACGGATTTTTAGCAAACACCGAGTGAGTCACATAATCACGTAGAAGACCCGAGGGAATTTTTTCTCGAAGCCCTCGCCCAAGGGCTGATCTACTGCCCCTGTACTGCTGCTGTCGTGAGTGGGCCGATGCTGTTCCACCTCACCCTCGCACGCGGACTGACCAGCAGGGGAAGCAGTGGCCTGGCCAACCTGCTGAGCTGCTGTCCCTGCACCCGCAGCCTCATGTTGTCCCTGTTGTGTGCTGCTGGTCGTGGCGTGGCCTAGCTGGTCAGCCAAGCCTGTGCCCGCACCGACACCACCCATGGCCTCATCGTCACCATGAGGCACATCACGCACCACATTGTCAACATACTCATCATACTCCATAAAATCATCATGTACATCATTATTCAAACCAAAACCATGAGACTCAATATTGACATCTTCCGATGTAGCAAATGGAAACACATCCTCAGTAAATTTGCCATCTCAAGACACAAAAAAAAAATTTGGATTCAAGATCATACAATCTCCATCCTTTCTTTCCAAATGGATAGCCCACAAAAACACACTTTCGACTCCGACTAGCAAACTTGTCCTCCATTAGTTTTCTGGTTATGTGCAAAACAAAGACACCCAAAGGTACGAATGGCATCAACTATAGGGGGTTTATTAAAGAGGATTTCAAATGGAGTTTTATTTTGTAGCAAAGGAGTAGGGGTTCGATTAATTAGATGAGTCGTGGCAAGGACACACTCACCCCAAAAATAAATTGGCAATTTGGCTTGGAATCTCAAAGCTCTCCCAACTGACAAAATATGTTTATGTTTCCTCTCAACCCTCCCGTCCTGTTGCGGAGTTCCCACACAAGAAGTTTGGAAAATAATACCAGTAGCATCAAAAAATCACGCAAGCATTTAAACTCCGTACCATTATCACTTTGCACAATTTTTATAGTCTGAGAGAATTGTCGTTCTACCATAGCAACAAACATCAAGAACAAACGAAAAACTTCTGTTTTATCATTCAACAAATAAATCCACAAAGCTCTAGAATAGTCATCAACTATAGTTAAAAAATAACGAGCTCCAAACGACGAAACATGTCTATACGGGCCCCACAAATCACAATGAAGCACGCATACATACTTCACATCCTTTATTCAAATTAGCCTTGCTACTAACTGTGGGAAGCAACTTAACTACTTTCTCGGAAGGATGACTTATACGACGATGCCACAACTCCAAGTCAGACTTTGCAGCAATCGTACTCACATGATGTACCGAATCCGATTTGCTAAAATAATACAATCCGTCCTCCTAGCTCCCGTTCCAATCAGCTCCTTCGTTTGGTCCTGTATAGAACACATATAAGCATTAAATTGGACAATACAATTAAGGTCATCACTAAGTTGTGAAACTGAAAGCAAGTTACAACTCAAATTAGGAACATAAAGCACCCCGGTGAGGGTGATTTTATCAGACAAACGAATAGAGCCAACTAGAGAAGCCAACACTGTTTCACCATTAGGCAACCCAATCGGACACTGAAAACTTTTTGTGTCAAAAAACCTAGACTTCTCTCCGGTAACGTGATGAGTAGCTCCCATGTCAATAATCCAAGAGGTATCATCAAACTTACCATTCAATCGATTATTGAAAATTGTAGCATTACTCATCAATCCCGTAATCGTTTTCCACTGTTCACTTGAAAATAACCGACCCGAAGCAAAACCACCCGAGTCATCCGAACTTGAACCACCACCACCGTGACTGCATTGGCCTTCACCGGAGCACCACGACCCCGACCAGCCGAAGATTGCCCCCCCCGGCTGCCAGCAGTACTCTCCGGCCAACCATGCTTGTCATAGCAACGAGATTCCTCATGGCCACGCTTTTTACAGTAAGTACACACTTTGTCAGACCAGCACTTCACGGTTTCATGACCCACCTTCTTACACTTCTCACACACTGGCACCTGCCGATCAGAACCTCCACCATGCCCCCTCCATGCACCACTACGAACAGCGAAACCGAGGGCAGGGGAGGAATCATCTTTTAGGCGAGAAATACCTCGAACCTTCTGTTCTTGGGAAACCTGCTGGTATGCCTTATTTAGAGAGGGCAGGGGATCAAGCGAAAGCAATATAGAGCGTATAGAGGAATAATACGCGTGTTATTGGAGACGATCCCCATCACGCCTATCCGCGTGTTGTCTCCCTACATTACATGAACTTTGCCCACACTTGCAAGCAATCAAAGGTTCTAGGCGATCAAGTTCATCCCACAAAACCGACAATTTACTGTAATACACCGCAACCGTCATACTTTTCGATTGTTCACAGCTATTAATATCAGACTTTAGTTGTTGAATTCTAAGACCATTAACTAGGCAAAAACGCTCATGTATATCATCCCTCAGTTTCTTAGCATCATCATAATGAGAAAGCATAGATTTTACCTCGGGATCAATAGTGTTCATTAGCCAAGAAACTAACATACAGTGAATTGTAATCCAATCATCCTTCGTACATGGTGGCTCGAAGGTGATGATACTACCATCAAGAAAACCGAACTTCCGTCAAGAGCACAACGCAATTCGCACGGCATGAGACCAATCATGAAAGTTGTCCAATTTGAGACGTTGAGAGGTGATGTAATCTCCCGGCCGATCTTGTGGGCCAAGGTAGAAGGGAGAGGTTGATTCGATTTTTGGTGGAGATGGGGTGTCACCACCGCCTATCATTGTGTTTCACAGGAGAAAAAATTTTACGGCTTAGCCTTCATTAATTAATCAATACCAATATATATACAATGCTAATCCTAGAATTACCTTAACTTAGGTCACTAGGAATTAGGAAACAATATAAAAGATAACTAGCAAAATTTCCCACAAAATATATCCTCAATAGAAAAGGATCCCCTAAAGTTCTTACCGAGCTTTTACAAGAACAGCAAAAGAGAGAATTCCTGCTGTATAACATGTAGATTTAATGGCCTAAGATTTGGCCCTGAATTTCCTTTGCTGATTTGGATATTACACAACAAATTGTTGAAGCTTCAAATTCTTAATGATACAAGCTACAGATTCTGACATAACGCCTGAATTTGGTTAATTAATGAGTACTAAAACAAACTGGTAGAAAATATGAAGGCAATAATTCTAAGAATACAAATTGAGAAGCCAAAATTTTAGGCTCCCATAATAAAACCTCGATCTTATTGCTGATTATGAACAGCGTCAAATTACAATGACGACTTCAATGTGCAGCAGCGATAACAGAAAAGATATGTTGTAATGAATCAATAAGTAGGATGAGACTACTGGAGGGGATGAAGCTACTGGAGGAGACAAATCTGTCTCATTATCGAAATATCAAGTTGTGGCAACTATTGTCACAAGGGTATGCACAATCAATGAATTTAATGGCTGATCGATCAAAGAACCAGTCACCGACAGCTATCGCCACAGGCTGCAAAAATAAGTTCAAAACACAGGATTTTGTAAGGTAATCATTCATTTAGAAACACAAGCAAAATGAAGTGAAACATAAGGTTTTGACAGTGAAAACTCAAAGGGTTAACCACAATCTTTTAAATTTTCCAAGAGTTTGTGACAGTTTCTTGATTAATCTGACAAGTCTAAGTCATTTTATCTAGATAGTCCGGTTACTCTGGTGTTCGATCAATACATGTCCTTAGTTGGGCTCAAAACCACCACCAAATTAAGTGTTGATAAGTATATTAGGTGACTCGTACTTCGTAGCTTTGTCCGCCGATCGGGCGGACATTGCCCGGTCTGACCGGGCGGAAGAAGAAGAGGTGCCTGGCAAATTCGTTGAAGAAACTGCTCTCGCGCCCGACCGGGCGAGCCTTCGCCCGACCGGGCGAGCCTTCGCCCGATCGGGCGGACATTGCCCGGTCTGACCGGGCGGAAGGGGTTTCTTGAGTACTTCGGTTGTTGGAAAAGATGTGCTCTCGCGCCCGATCGGGCGGGCCTTCGCCCGATCGGGCGATCTGGGTTTTCAGCGGTTACGAATTTAATATTTATCTTTTTTGTGATATTGTAACCTAAGTATATTCTAATTAGGAGTCAATACTATATAAACTTCCTATTATTATTATTAGGGTGATGGTGAGAGAAACACAAGAGAGAGAATACTTTGAGTGATTAAGTTCTTCATTGTAATCTTTGTGATCTTTGCCAGTTTATAGTGAAATCATTCGATCTCGGTGCCCGTGGATGTAGCTATCACATCGATAGTGAACCACGTAAATTCTTGGTGTTGTTCTTATTGTTTGCATTGAATTTCTTTATTGTTTTCTTGTTTGTTTTCGACCTTTGCTTCCGCTGTCGCACAACAATTGGTATCAAGAGCTCAGGTTCAATCCTTGGAGAGTTTCTTGAAGATAACAATGGCAGGAGATTCAACAATAAGAATTGAGAAGTTTACCGGGAAAAATAGTTTCGGGCTATGGCAAATTAAGATGAAGGCTCTGTTAAAACAACAGCAGATATGGCGTCCGTTGGCTCCAAAGAGTACTACTTCGGAGTCAGGAGACGGACCGACTGACTCGCAGTTAGAAGTTATGGAAGAGAAGGCACACTCTACCATATTACTTAGTCTTGATGATCAAATCATCACGGAGGTTGCTGATCAGGAAACGGCGGCTGGATTGTGGCTGAAGCTGGAGTCATTGTATATGACTAAGTCGTTGACCAACAAATTATTACTGAAACAGCGGTTGTTTAGCCTCCGGATGCAGTCAGGTACTTCCTTACGGGAACATCTAGAAAAACTTAACTCTATTTTGCTTGATTTACGTAATTTAGATGTTAAAATTGATGATGAGGATGCTGCGTTGATTTTACTTGTATCTCTACCGTCTAGCTTTGAGAATTTTGTAGAGTCTTTTGTTGTTGGTAAGGATTCTATAACCTTAGAAGAAGTGAAGGCAGCACTTCATACTAGGGAACTCAGAATGAAAGCTACGAGTGATAATGGGGATAATGGTAGTGGGTTGTTTGTTAAGTCCGGAAAGTCTAAAAAGAATAAGGGGTTTAACAAGGGGAACAATGCTGGGTCGGGTGCTGGAAACGGCAAGGATGGATCTAGTAAAACTACTACTAAAACATGTTATTACTGTAAAGAACCGGGTCACTTTAGGAATAATTGTCCGGTGAGGAAAAACAAGTCCCAGGCTGCTGTAGTTGAAGAGAAACCGAATGAGAGCTATAATTCAGAGGAAGATTTAGCATTAGTCAGTTCTGCTAGGTCTGATGATTTATCTGATAACTGGGTTCTAGATTCGGGGTGTTCGTTCCATATGTGTCCACGTCGAGATTGGTTTGATACATATGAACCTCGCAATGGGGGTATGGTTATAGTCGGTAACAATGCTCCATGTAAGGTCACAGGTATTGGTTCCATGAGGTTGAGGACTGTTGATGGGCGGAGGTTAACTTTGACTAATGTACGGCATGTTCCTGCTTTAGGAAAGAATCTGATTTCATTGGGTACCCTGGATGACTTGGGGTACAATGGTGTGTTTTCAGATGGGGAGTTGTGTATTTTCAGAGGTTCTGAGTTGGTACTTAAGGGTATCAAAAGGAACACCCTCTATGTTTTTGAGGGTGTTACACTGCCTAGTTCTGCGGTTTGCGCATCTGTATCTCACCAGGAGATGACTAAGATTTGGCACATGAGGCTTGGTCATATGGGGGAGAAGGGGATGCAGCTATTGTCCAAGAGGGGTCTTCTATCCGGGGTCAAGGTTGCCAACCTTGAATTTTGTGAGCATTGTGTGTTTGGTAAGAAACACAGGTCAAAGTTCAGCAAGGGTGCTCACATTACTGATGCAGTGCTCGATTACATCCATTCAGATTGCTGGGGTCCATCTAGAGTTGAAGGTATGGGAGGTTACCACTATTTTGTGTCATTTGTTGATGACAAGTCCCGATACACATGGCTTAGGTTGCTTAAGTCAAAGGATGAGGCCTTCAAAGTTTTCAAGCAATGGAAAGCTTTGGTGGAAAATCGACAAGGAAGGAAGATCAAGAAGCTACGAACGGACAATGGGCTAGAGTTTTGCAAAGACGAGTTTAATCAGTTCTGTGCAGATGAGGGTATAGGTCGGCATCATACTGTCAGGAAGACACCACAGCAGAACGGTGTAGCAGAACGGGTTAATCAGACACTGCTAGAGAGAGTTCGATGCATGCTCTCTAATGCAGGGCTTGGGAGGAGGTACTGGAGTGAAGCTGTGTTAACAGCTTGTTATGTCATTAATAGGGGTCCTCATTCTGGAATTGATTCCAAAATTCCGTTTGAGATCTGGAGTGGTAAGTTGCCTAATTTTTCGAATTTGAAGATTTTTGGTTGTGTTGCTTATTATCATGTTATTGAGGGTAAGCTGGATCCACGAGCCAAGAAGGGGTGTTTTGTTGGGTACGGGGATGGTGTGAAGGGGTTTAGAATTTTTTCACCTTCGGAGGGTCGGGTCATTCTTAGTAGGGATGTTACTTTCGATGAAAACACCATGTATTCAATTAAAAATGCAGAGATTTCAGATTTGAGAAGGGAAGGAGACAATTTATTACAGACAGATGGGGTACTTGAGGTACATCAGTCTACCATTGCTGATTTACCTCGGGTACAATATATTGATGATGATGCTGATGTTCCAGTGCCGGGTACTCCTGAACCTGAGATTACTCATACTCATTCTAACTCTGGGGATGAGGTGGAGCAATCTAATCAGGGGTCATCTAGTCAACCTGACACCATTCTTGAGATGCCTAAACGAGTTATCAAGAAGCCTGTTAGATTGATTGAAGAGATGGAGGGAAGAAATTGCTGTGTTGATGCGATGACAGGTTATGCATTGAGTGTAGCTGATGATGTAGAGTCATTTGAACCTGCCACATATAAACAAGCAATTAGTTGTAGTGAGTCTGCGCAATGGCTTGCCGCAATGGGTGAAGAGATGCAGTCTCTTTACAAGAACAGAGTGTGGGAACTGGTAAAGGTACCGGAAGGGAGGAAGCTTGTGGGTTGTAAATGGATTTACAAGAAGAAAGAAGGGTTGTCGGAAACTGAGCAAATACGTTTTAAGGCTAGGCTAGTTGCTAAGGGGTTCAGTCAGGTAGAAGGGGTTGATTTTGTTGAGATATTCTCACCTGTGGTTCGACATACTTCTATCCGTGTGTTATTGTCAATTGTAGCACATTTTGATCTTGAGCTGGAGCAGTTGGATGTTAAAACGGCTTTCCTTCATGGCGATTTGGAGGAGGAGATTCTGATGAAGCAGCCCGAAGGATTCGAAGTTCCTGGAAAGGAACACTATGCCTGCAGATTGCTAAAGTCATTGTATGGACTTAAGCAATCCCCCCGACAGTGGTACAAAAGGTTTGATTCTTTTATGGTTTCACAAGGTTTTGACAGGAATTCATATGATTGCTGTGTGTATCATAGTAAGCTGGATAATGGTTCCATGATTTATCTTTTGTTATATGTTGATGACATGTTGGTTGCCACAAAGAATAAATCTGATATTGCTAGATTAAAGGAGATGCTTAACTCGGAGTTTGACATGAAAGACTTGGGTGCAGCTAGGAAGATTTTGGGTATGGAGATCTACAGGGATCGGGCTAGAGGTAAGCTTTTCTTGACTCAGAAAAGCTACATTGAAAAGATTTTGTCTCGTTTTGGGATGGAAAAATCGAAGCCTATAAGTACGCCAACTACTGTTAGTTGTAAGTTGTCTTTGTCTATGTCACCTCAATCAGAGGAGGAGTTGTCTTATATGTCTAGAGTTCCATATGCAAACGCGGTTGGTTGTTTGATGTATGCTATGGTCTGTACTAGGCCGGATATTGCGCATGCTGTTAGTGTTGTAAGCAGGTTTATGGCTCGACCTGGGAGGGAACACTGGCAAGGGGTGAAAAGGATTTTTCGCTACCTGAGAGGGACAACTGATATTGGTCTTGTGTACGGGAATGGTAGGGAATGCTTGGTCACTGGGTACAGTGATTCTGATTATGCAGCTGATGTGGATACCAGGAGGTCTGTGACTGGTTATGTGTTCACTTTGGGTGGTTCTGTGGTTAGTTGGAAGTCTACATTGCAGTCATCAGTTACGTTGTCAACTACTGAAGCTGAGTATATGGCTTTAACTTCTGCAGCTAAGGAGTCTATTTGGCTCAAAGGCCTAGTAGGTGAACTGGGTATTGCACAGGATTTTGCTACAGTGTATTGTGATAGTCTAAGTGCGATTTGCTTAGCTAAAGATCAAGTACACCATGATCGGACGAAGCACATTGATGTCAGGTATCATTTCTTGCGTACTGACAAGAGGATTAAGGTGAAGAAGATTGGGACTGCTGACAACCCGGCTGATTTCTTCACTAAGCCTGTTCCGTTTAGCAAGTTTAAACATTGCTTAGACTTGCTAAATATTGATTACTACGTGATGTAGTAGGCCCTGAGGGGCGAAGTTGGGGAGCTCCTGGTGTAGGTGTGTTGGCCTTAAGGTGGAGCTTGCCCGGGGCTTGTGATGCAGGTGGAGCATTATGAGTTGTTATACTTGGAGACGAGTATGTGATGGGTCTTGGTTGAAGACTTATCGGGATGTATGGCTTATGCATGAGTCCTGCATCGGGTTTGGCTTGAGATGTTTTTTCACTATGTCTTGATGGGGTTGTTTGCTGACTACGAGTTCTCGTCAAGGTGGAGATTGTTGATAAGTATATTAGGTGACTCGTACTTCGTAGCTTTGTCCGCCCGATCGGGCGGACATTGCCCGGTCTGACCGGGCGGAAGAAGAAGAGGTGCCTGGCAAATTCGTTGAAGAAACTGCTCTCGCGCCCGACCGGGCGAGCCTTCGCCCGACCGGGCGAGCCTTCGCCCGACCGGGCGAGCCTTCGCCCGATCGGGCGGACATTGCCCGGTCTGACCGGGCGGAAGGGGTTTCTTGAGTACTTCGGTTGTTGGAAAAGATGTGCTCTCGCGCCCGATCGGGCGGGCCTTCGCCCGATCGGGCGATCTGGGTTTTCAGCGGTTACGAATTTAATATTTATCTTTTTTGTGATATTGTAACCTAAGTATATTCTAATTAGGAGTCAATACTATATAAACTTCCTATTATTATTATTAGGGTGATGGTGAGAGAAACACAAGAGAGAGAATACTTTGAGTGATTAAGTTCTTCATTGTAATCTTTGTGATCTTTGCCAGTTTATAGTGAAATCATTCGATCTCGGTGCCCGTGGATGTAGCTATCACATCGATAGTGAACCACGTAAATTCTTGGTGTTGTTCTTATTGTTTGCATTGAATTTCTTTATTGTTTTCTTGTTTGTTTTCGACCTTTGCTTCCGCTGTCGCACAACATTAAGGGAAGTCTAAAAGGCATCAATTTTACCTCTAATTAGCCTAGACTGAGAGAGAGACAGATTCCACAGACCCACTAGATAATTTCACATAAATAAAGTCGAATAAACTGGTAAAATGGATGATGAGCAGAAGAATGTCTTTTCAAGCAGACTTTCGGGTAGCATTAAATATTCAATGGATTTTGTATGTACAGAGGATCACGGATTGAGTTCTTGATTACTAATATACGGAGTAATGATGTAACGAATACAATAATACAACTTGGTCCGCAAAGTCAATAATTGTGAAAAGTCTACTGAGGAATTGAATATGTATGCATTTTTGTTCCATAAGGAGTACCAATAAGATAAGAGTCAAATCTTAAGTTATAAAGCATGGCATCTTTTGTATTATTTTGTAATCCCTCCTTAATAATCCATCCTAAACGAGCACATGCAAGCCTTCCCCACACTCAGCCCCCACCTCTCACAGCTTGGATTTTTCTAACACGGAAAATTAATTCATACTCCAGCAAACAAGACAAATTCAAATTATGATACGTTTTATTTTAATAACAATAAACCTTAAGAATTTAGACTTGACCAAAAGATTTTATTGTATAGTTTTATAAACATGTCTACGTGACTGCTGTAACATTGGGGTGACAGTAATTGTATTGCTGCAAAACTGAAGAACTGAAAGATTCAGATACCTTGTTACGAAGAACTGGGGAATCATCCGCAAACCATGTGTCCTGCCTCTCAGATTGGCAGTGAGCAAAGCATGAATTGATGAATAGCCCATTTGATCTAGACCTTGAGAAACCCTTCAGTGAATTTAGCATTTGAGTTCTGAATCCTGCAACAGTAAATTATGATAATCCTGAGAAGAATTTCAAAAAAGGAACGGAAAAACACGTAATGCTTAGAATTTGCTGGAATTTACTCTGGAAAAATTGGATTTGTGATGCAGAACAACGTGCGTGATTCATTTTGCATTGATCCCATAAGTGGTGAGGATCAGCTGTTCTTGGGGCTAAACTAGCTTGAACCTGAATTCAGTAGCATATAATATGTCAATTGTGTGAGTTTTGAAAAAGTTGATTGACAAAGTTTAGTGCTAAATACAAATTCAAGTATATAAAGACAACAATCAGCAGACCTGCCATGCATCATAAGCTGCATTGAGAATGAATAATGGTGTCTTGATGTTGGTGATTAAATTTTGAGGAAAAAAGCACTGCAAAAAGACAGACAGATAACAAGGTTTCAGGTCACAGGTGAAGAATTAGGCAAAATATTAATAGCACTATGGAGTTAAAGTTCTCATTATATCTAGCATACAAATTGTCTGAAGAACTTAGAGAAGGATTACCGAAGTTGAATCCATGTGGTTAGTACAGGAAGAAGGCAGATTTTTTCCAACACCCTGAAAGATATATGAGTATTAATTCATAAAATAAGTGTTTAACAGTACAAATCATAATATATACAACTAACATATAATGAACAACATCAATGTCTTAAATCAACATGTTATGACAGTCATTCTACATATACAGCTCATCTTATATGGAATTTCTTTATTCTGGAAGTACCTAAGTTGGATATATATGCTAGAACATTGGTATGAATGACATGTGTTAATGTGGCCACATTTAGCCGAGTTTTACGAATAAGTTCACTGGTCTAAGCACACATCACTGCCACAAAAATGTCGTAGTTTAATAGTTTGTAAGGCAACAAATAATAACCTCACAATCCATCCTCTGTTCCACCACTCCAAAATGCCATGATACACAAATCTTATTGCATACAAATTCACAAACCATTATATCCCAAATGGTCACTTTGGAATCAGGACAGCACCAAAGTTCGCAGCAAAGTAGTTGATTTGAAGACTTTCATTCTTGTTTAAGTGTTTAGTTGAGCTTAAACTATCACAAGGCTCATACATCTAATTGAAAATAAATCTTTATCCTTGTAACCAATGCTTTGATAAAAAGATGAAATTTAGTTTCTTACCAGGTAAGTCACCACGCCGTGGTAAAAATCCCTCATAGTGTGTCCACCTGAGACATCCAATCTAAAAAGCCAACATGTCAATAACATACCTAAAATATCATTTTATTGCTGAAAATTACTGTTACTGACAATGATAGCAGTAATTTCATAAGCATCAAAAAGTAGGAGCAACAATAACAGTTACTTACGCGTCCATAAACAATCCTGCATCACTCAGGCACTTCACTTTGGTGTGTCCTGAGAACAAGTCTCCAAACTCATCACAGTGCAATATGGATGCTAGACCCCCAGCAGAACATCCAGAAAGAAGAGCCTTATCAGCATTACGCATTCCTTTCCCCATGAATTCTTCCATGGCAACAGACCATATGCGTTGACCTCTAAAAAATAGTTGGTTGGCCTGTAAAAAATAACAACTTATTATGATTCCCAAACTTGACAAAACAAACAAGAAGCACTGGACACCTTCTACTCCCCTGCATCCCAATCATAGACTCATTCATAGTAATCCTAAGGACATTTTTCTTTGATCTTTCACACAAAATGATTTTTCTTAGCAACTTTATTTCCGTTCACTCATTGGTGCGATTAATACTAGAAGGTTTGGGAAAAAAAAAAAAACCGACTACCTCGTCTTGGCCTTCCCCAGCAAAAGAAGCACCATCACAATATCGAAGCTTTACTCTATTCCAGTTGAAAAAATCTGTACACTTGTAAGGTGGTTGAGTCACAAATGCTAAAGATCAAAGAATTCCTAAATGTCGAGGAGAAGGGGAGTTTAGCACAAGTATAGAAATTAATAAAACCTGGATTTTCCTCTGCCTTATTGCTTAATAATCCTGTAAATGCTAATTGCTTTTCCATATATTTAGATGACCCACGTCGAGTCGTTTTCCTGTAGACACATGTTCTAACATTATTACACCAACCTCCACCCTGCACAATATGGCAAAATTTGAAGTTAAACAACCATTAAGAGAACAGCAACAACACCAGCTTGAAAACTAGAGTAAGCATCAAATTCAAAAACAAATGAATCCAATTCAAAGGCAACACCTACTTACAGTTCAACATATGTAATAAACATACATTAACAGACCAAAAATTGCAGACCAAGGGTTTCTGAAAAATAATAAGAATCATCATAGAAACACTTTCAAAATTTTCTTTACTAGCACAATCCACTTGTTTCTGACATATCACCTAGTCAGTAATTTACTGGGAGAGAGATTTTCGACTTTCAACAAATATATAGCCCGGAAGCATCCATATTAGTTAATCGGTCATCTTATAATCTATGTACAGGAAAATTAACAACTTTTTCATCTTTCTCAAGATGCACACAGACACACAAAAACTATATTCATCTAATTACTACACACCTCTAATTGAATAAGCCAACTGTTTGCCCCTGATCCATATCCACGATCCCAATGATAAGCAGGCAATGTTCCGTCCAAGCAGACTGCATAAACATCACAAATTTAAGTTAAAGCATATTGTGACCAAGTGTTAAGTCCAAGCAAACTTAAATTAAACAAAAACTAAAATCAATAAACTCGTTATGAATGTATTTACAAAAAGGATAAAAATGCAATAACAGAAGCTTTATGGAGGAATAGGTACTATGCCATTAGGTAGCCCCAGAATCAAAAGTTGGAAAGGAGCTTTCTTAACTTCGGTGACAAAGATTGAGAACAACCACAATCAAAACAGAATTGGTTAGCCTTTTCAACAGTTACCATCATAACGGTCCATACTAGTCAACACCAGCTTAGCATTAAGATAACCCAACTTACTAAGTAACAAGGGGTAATAATTCATCAATCAATATTACTCAGATGGCTCGTTGCTACCCAATTACCCATAAACAACCCAAATTTCTCTGCAATTCTGCAATCTTCACTAATAGCAGATTAGACCATGCTCTTTGATTTAGTTAGAAGCAAGCAGGTCCTAATCCTTATCAATCTTGTGGACCGCGAATATCATAGTAATAATCATCATAGTTAACGGAATCCTGCAGAATGGGCAACTGGATGTAGCTCATAACTCCATCTATAAGATTTAGAAACTAGACATGAAATAAAATTAATCCTATATGGATAAAAAGGAACATGAATGGCATATGAATCTTATGTACATATACTATGAGGTTCATTAAATGAGTAATACTTCTTGTTTCATTTATGAAGCAGTCAGAAGTCAGAACATGCCATATTTTTTATTGGCCAAGCAACCATACAATATAATCCATTGTTTCTCAACCTAGGCTATAAATTTCACTCTTTTCAAGTAATTTGTATGCTAGATAAACTCTCAACCAATCCAACAACACAAACAGAACAAATTATTTGATCATTTCCTCCAACTTAAGTGCAAAACAAGCAAAGATCTACAATCACAACCTAAATTACCCAAGAAACAGATGCCAACTAGCTCGGTTAGCTATAATCTAGCCGGGTTTTATCCAAACACGGAATCAAATCCCGTCTACATCACTGCCCTTTACGACTCACTCGACACCAAAAACATAAAAAAAAACAACCAAACCCAAACAAGATTTGAAATTCAACAAAACAAAATTACAAGAATTGAAAGAAATTAGAGTAAAAGATTATACCAGCGCCCTTGGAATCAGCTCCATTGATAAGAGTAAGAGGAACCATAAGAGGTTGAGGAGGAGCAGCAGAAACTTCATAGGACTCCAAAAATGAAATGTGACTCACATTTGCATAATCAAAACCTTCAACAAAAACCAAAAATGTTCCAAAACAAACCAAACCCAGAAAAACCCATTTCCCAAAATCCATCATTTCCCAAAATTTTTGTTTAATTGATAGATTAAAATGTACTTGTATAACAGAATAGGTCCAATTTTTATACCCAGTAAAAGAAATCCAAAACAATGAAATACCCAGAAATGGAAATGTATCAGAATTATATTGCAATGAATGAAAAAAAAAATATTTCCAGATTCTGACAAGAAAATAATTGGTTTTAAGTGTGAATGTTTTTATTGAGTAGGATTTTGAGTGAAGTAAGGAATGAATATTACATAAAAAATTAAAATAAAAAATAAAAAATGAAAATGGGGAATCTATATAGATCCGTGTTTTAGGGTAGATTTAACTGAGAGAGTCAGACACAGAGAAAGTAATAAGCGAGGATCTTGGTACTGTTGCTAGTGTGTTTATAATTTTGCGCATGACATAATTTATTTATAACAAAATTAAAAATAGAAACCAAAAAATAATAAATATTTCGTACTTTACAAGTTGAAACTTGAAAGTGATTAGTATGTCTTCTACCCCGTATAAGCGTATTAGATAGTTTTATCGAGTAAAACCACTATAATGTCGTCACACTTTCGAAAAGAAAAAAAAATTCTATTTGAAGAATTGTATTGATTTCATATTAAATTTGGTGCGGAGGCAAATAATATTCACTTGTTTTTCATTTAATTATATTTATTGTATTTTTTAGTAATAATTTAATCGTATATAATGTGATACATCATGTAATCTTACTTGCTAAGTTTGCCAACAATACAATTTTTTGGGTGTATTGCGTGTAAAATAAGAATAAAGTAAATTTTTAACACATGATTAAAATAAATGAGAATTGAAGGGAGATTGAAAATAATAACATAAAATACGAGTAATTTTAAAATGTAACCGACTTTATCATTTTGAGGTCACGGCTTTGTACAAGGTGTATCGTTGTTGTGGTGGGTATAGAAGGATGTTACCCGTAAGATCACGCAACGAATGTAGAGTTTAGTTAAGTAGAACTAATGGTGGAAAGCTCACTAGTACACTAGTAATGCTAGTATCACTCATCGTTGACACCTGTAAGTGACTGTCATAATCATTGCCGTTGGTGTTGGATTGTTTGATTTTGATCGACGTCAGAATTTCGTTTACGCAAACTTTTCGTAAACGAAGTGTCACAGACACATTTTCTGTATGACAGAAAGGAATTTATTCAATTATTTGAGTTGAATCATAAATGTTTGAGTATTTAATCCGTTTAATTTTAGCCACTTGATAAAAATAAACTACAAATCGAATTCGCCTTTCTTCCCTTTTTTTTTTTTTTTTTTTTTTTTATAAATTGTTATTTCTATATTTTATTTAGTCATTTACAAAGTGATAGAAGTACTGTATTTCTAATGCATGCCTATAAAGGCATAAACACTAAATAACACAAGATTTTTATTTGGTTTTATTTTATTTATTTTTTTCCTTTCTTTTAGTGTTTAGAGAGCCACAAGGACGGAGGTGAGAATCGATCTCAAGATCTCTTGGAAACGGGAAGGAAGCTCTAACCACTTGAGCTATCCCCCACTCTCAATTATTTGGTTTTATTTGTTTTTAGGAAATTTTAGAAAATAACACCAGGAAAAACACAAAATTTTGATTATAACACCACAAAATTTCAAAATTTTATTATACCACCACTTAAAAAATTAAAATTTTGGTTTCACCACCAAATAACAGAATCTGTGACGGAAAATATGTGTGGGGCCCACAAATTAGTTTACCCTCCAAATTTCATCCTCTTCAATTCAATTCTCTCTCCTTCCATTGATTACCCAACTACTACTCCTTCATTGAATTCTCTCTGTTAATATTCAACAACCAAAATTACTGTCAAGAATCAAACCCTAAGTTGAATTGTGTGGTTGAGAAATTGAATTGAAAAGGGAGGTGTCAGTATTGGTGCGAAACAACTCAGCCAGAAGTCGTCAGCCATTTTCAACAACAAAAAAGCTTGGATTTTTCGTGGATTCTGACAGAAACAGCAGCAAGATTCCAAAAGAGATACCTTTCAAACCCTTTAAAGTAGTTTTTAGCAACTATTGAAGTTAACTATGCCATTTTCATGAGGAATGTAGGGTAATTTGGGAAAAAAGTAGTAGGAATCCTAAAACCAGTAAAATTGGGTGTGATTTACTTTGTGTACTGTGCGAACTTGTAATTAAAGTAGGATGTGATTAATTTAAGTATGAATTAGTGTAATTGGTTAATTATTTACTTTAATTCATTGATTTTGGTGACTTGTTGACTAGTTTGTCCTTGTTTTGGTATAAAATATGTTTGCTTTTGTTGACTAAAGTAGTGCGTTTGACTGTGTAATTAGGGTAAGATATGTTGGCTTTTGTTGACTTGTTTTGCATCTGTTTATAGGGTAGATAAATGGCCAACAACCAAGAAGGATTAATTGATATAGTATTCAGAGTTGGGGGTGCTTTTGTTCCCAAAAGAGTGTCAAAGGAAGAGCCCAAGACTTAACAAAACTGACCCTGAGGTGAGTCAAAGGGGAGATTCTCCTAAACCTAGATCTAGACAGGATAAGGGTAAGTGGGTAGGAAAGAGTGAAGGGGTTTCTGGTAGAGGGAAGTTTTTGGATAAGGGGAAAGGTAAAGCTAAGTTTGAAAGGGTTTCTGGTAGTGGGAAGGTGTTGGATAAGAGGAAGGGGAAAAAGAAATTTGTAGATAAACGATTGGTTTTCGAGGATAATAGTGAGGGCAGTGAATCTGGAAGTGAGGAGGGGTATTCTTCTACTGATAGGAGTGACATTGACATAACTTGGGAGCCTGGTGAGGAGGAGTATGGTAGTGGGGATGAAAGGTGGTTTATACAGAATTCTAAAGAGATTTTGGAGAAGGAAACAAGAAGTCTTAGGAAGCAGTTGGATGTACATGATCAGGGGGTTGTAAAGGATCCTAGGTCAAGGTTGAATGAGAACTTGGATGTGAGTGAGGTTCAACTGCAGGAAGAAATTGAGGGAGAATCAGATGAGCTAAGGAGCTTGGATGGTTCATCAGATGAAGAGGACAACAATCCTTGGTTTAATGAGAAAACTGACTTCACTAAGCCTGTTGTTCTTTTTAATAGGCTTAAGTTCAGTAATGTTTTAGTTTTGAGAAAAACTCTAGGAGTGCATGTCATAAAGAATAGGTATGAATACTACTTTTTACACAATAATAGTAGTAGGATTACTAGTCAGTGTAGGAATAGATGTGGCTGTAAGTTTGACACAAAGACAAGTAGGATGCCTTTGTGTATATGCAAGGGTGGAGTGAAGTGCAATTTCAAGATCCATGCTACGAAGTTAGTTAGATGGCAGACTTGGAAAATAAAAGGCATGAGGTTAAAGCATAGATGTGTGAGAAGCAGGGAGAACAAGAAGGTCACTGCAGAGTTCATTGCAGAGAGGTACCTTGAGGAGTTTAGAAGTAACCCAACCTGGAAGATTAAGCAGATCAGGGATAGGGTGCTACAAGACCTGGGGTTCAAGTGACTTACTTTAGGGATTGGATGGAAAGATGTAAAGCTGAGTTGACAATTTTTGGTTCAGCAAGAGAGCAATATGTAAGGGTCTGGGATTATGGAAATGCTATAATGAAATACAACCCAGGGTCTGGTTGTAATGTGGTGGTAGATGGCATTGAGCAGCCTGAGCCTCCCTTGTTTATGAGAATGTATGTTTGTTTGAGGCCTTTGAAAGATGGTTTCTTAATTGAAGGGTTGTAGGCCAATCATTAGGGTGGATGCTTCCACTTAAAAGGAGCTTGCCCATGGCAGATTTTAGTTGCAGTGTCCAAAGATGGAAACAACAACATTTACCCTATTGCTTGGGCAACTTGTGAGGTTGAAAACAGGGAAACTTGGGTTTGGTTCCTGGAATCACTGATGCATAGCCTTGGGAGTGCAGATGGGTCAGGCTTCACCTTCATGTCAGACAGGCAGAAGGTAAAATTGTCTTGTTTTTTTCTAGTCTTTAATGTGTCCTGTTCTTTATTTTGTGAAGTATGATAAATGTATTTAGATGCTGTTAAACAGGGACTGGTTGAAGCTCTAGCTCAAGTTGTGCCAAATGCAGAAACAAGGTTCTGTGTTAGGCATATTTGGGCAAATTTCAAGCGAAAGTTCACTAGATCAGTTTTCAAGGAGCTTTTTTGGAGTGCTGCAAAAGCAACAACACATGTAAGTCTATAGCTTAGATTATTTTGAACAAATTAAACTATGAAATTGAACTGGATTCACTGATGAGCTTAGATTGTTTTAAACTGGAACACTGTTCTTGTTGTGTGTGTAGCTTAGATTGTTATGAACAAATTTAAGAGCTTGACTAGAACACTGTTCTTGTTATGTTTGTAGATTGAGTATGAAATACCAATGCAACAGATTAAGGAGCTTGATGAGGAGGCTTATGATTACTTGAACAATATCCCCACTCAACACTAGTGCAGACATGCATTCAGTGACAATTGCAAGTCCAACATGTTACTAAACAACATGTGTGAGACTTTCAATGCAGTTATTAGAGATGCAAGAGACAAACCTATCCTCACCCAAATGGAATGGATGAGTAGTTACATGATGAGGAGAAACAATGAGAAGTGGGAGGACTCCAAGGAAATCACAAGCAATTTGACTTCGTATGTTCATAAGTTGTTTCAAAGGATGAGCTATGTGTCTAAGAATTGCATTGTTCAAGCTGCCAGGGATGACACTTATGAAGTGCAACTGAAGGATGACCAGGTTCTAGTTGACTTAGGAAATGGGACTTGTTCCTGTAATCATTGGCAGCTTACAGGCATCCCATGTGTCCATGCCTTTGCATGCATAATGGATCAAAGAAGTGATGCTGAGCAATATGTCCACCCCTATTACAGTATGGCCACCTACAAAGCAGCATATGAGCCTGCAATTCAACCAATGCCAAGGCAAAGCATTGGGACAGAGTTAAATGAGAGAGCCTTAGCCACCAGCCTTCAAGGTGCAGCCTTGAAGGCCCAAATTGAAGAAAAGAAAGTTGGAGTCTGGTGAGGGAACTTCTGCAGCAGGGGGGGCAGCAGGGAGGAAAGAAAAGGAAAAAAAAACAATGCAGGAATTGTGGTGGATTTGGCCACTATGTCAAGACTTGCAAGCTCCCAATTATACCTGAACCAACTGAGCAAAGATCTGCAGGGAGACCCCCTTTAAACTCACCATGGGTAGTTAGAGCAGAGGAAGAAGAGTGAGATCAGAGCTGCTAAGAAGGTTTTCTTTGGTACTTGTTCAATTTTCTTTTTTTTTTTATTTTATTTTGTGATGCAATTAGATGTTGAAACTTGTTTTTTTCTCTGTTAACCACAGAGTGCAGTAGGAACTGGTCCAAATAGCATTGGGAACAAGACTTTTCCCCAAGAGCAACCAGGTTGTGAATCACTCAGCAAGAGGAAAGGTTCAAAT